GGGGGTGCTCCCTGGAGGGCCAGCATCTCAGTTCCTTCCCTCCCTCCAACCCTTTCAGGCAAAGCCCCAGCTGGTGAGGGCAGCCGATGCCAGCGGCGAGGGGGCCCAGTGGCACCCCGGGCTCGGCGTCGGCACCTCTCAGCCTCCCGGAGGGCCGGGGGCAGCAGGGGGCTGGGGGCCCGGCGCCTGGAGCGGAGGCTGAAGGAGTCCCTGCAGAACTGGTTCCGGGCAGAGTGTCTCATGGACTATGACCCTCGGGGGAACCGGCTGGTGTGCATGGCCTGTGGCCGGGCACTGCCCAGCCTGCACCTGGACGACATCCGTGCCCACGTGCTGGAGGTGCACCCCAGCTCCTTGGGGCTCAGCGGCCCCCAGCGCAGCGCCCTGCTGCAAGCCTGGGGTGGCCAGCCCAAGACACTGTCTGAGCTCACTCGGTCCCCACCAGGTGCGAGGCCCCTCCCAGGGCCGAGACCCACCCTCCATATTAGGGCTGCAACGCGGGGTCTGTGGCCAAAACCGGGAGGGACTCCTCTCTACACCCACCCACGCAGAGACACACCCCACACACCCCACACACCCCCACACCGGCTGGGGCCTGTAGATTGGGGCTGGGGTGAGGACCCCTCTGCGTGGGTAAGGGCAGCCCTGCCACCAGGCTGAGCCCGTCTCCCTCACCCCTTCCCCAACAGACGATGACCTCGTCCCCCAGGACCTGACCAGAAAGAGCCGGGACCCCGCCCCCACTGCTGGAGCCCTGTCCTCTCAGGATCTCAGTCCCCCAGACGTAAAAAAAGAAGAGGCTGGCTGGCTCCCTGAGAGGCCCGGGCCCGCAGAGGAGGAGGAGGACAGGGAGGAGGAGGAGGGCGAGAGGGTGGGGGTTTCGGGCCGGTCGCCGCAGGGCCGTGACCGCCGCCGCCGCTACCAGGAGCGCTGGCGGCTGGAGTACCTCATGGAGCTGGACGGCGGCCGGCGCGGCCTGGTGTGCATGGTGTGCGGGGGCGCGCTGGCCTCGCTCAAGATGAGCACCATCAAGCGGCACATCCGCCAGCGCCACCCGGGCTCCACGCGCCTCAGCGGGCCTGTCAAGGCCCTCATCGCCCAGGAGTGGAGCGAGAAGGCCGCTCACCTGCTGGCCCTGGGGCTGCCCAGCCCCGAGTCCCCCGGGGACCCTGCCGCCCCCGGCACAGCCGCAGCCTCCGAGGAGGGGGGAGGGGAAGAGGAGGAGGAGCCAGAGGAGGAGGAGTGGTGGGGTGAGCTGGCGCAGGGCCAGAGCAGGTGGCGCGGGAGAGCGGGGGCAGGGACCCGGGCCAGGCAAGGGGCAGAGGGCTGGGAGTGCTTGGGTGGAAGCGGGCGGGGAGAGTGGAAGGTTGAAGGGGAGATTGGGGAGGACGGGGCAGGAGGGCCAAGGTGGGCGGCTGTGGATCTGAGGCGCGAGACGCGGGCGGCTTGCCCTCTGCCGGCTCCAATGCGGTCCTTTGTCCCTTCCTAGGCGATGTCCCGCTTTCCCCAGGGGAGCCGTCGGAACGGCCCGCCGAGGACGACGAGGACGACGAGGA